GGTGGTGGTGGTGGGGGGAGAGCACACCGCAGGGCATGGGGAAACTCTCTCAGAATTGCAGATTTCTTCATAACCGCCCACACTTTTGAAACGCTTTTCTTTAACACTGTTGAGCAGCTGGAGAATGGGGGTGCCTGTTACCCAGAATCCACAGGGGCAGTGAAACCCCTATGTTAGTCCTCCCTCTGCCACCTCATGCTGACTGACCCGCTCTCCCATCACTGCCTCCCGTCAGCAACTCGTCAAAACTTCTCCGAGTGACAGCGCTGTGCGGGGTGTCCCTACACCACACACGATGGGGTGGGTGGGGGGAGCCGCAGCGGTTCAAGGTGGCAGCTCACCCTCCTCTTCAGAGAGGGGGGGGCAATCCGGGACAGGCAATAAATGCTGGCCCAGCCAGCTATGCCCACATCCCGTGAATGACTTTTGAAAAACAAGGCATGGAGGGTACAGAAGGCTAACCGCAAGGTACAAACAGCCTGCGTTTCTGACTCGAAGTGGCAGGTCCAGCTGCTTTGTGAAAGGCTGAGCCTATGCCCAGGTTTCTGAAATTCAACAGGGTCTCAGTGCTCTCAGTACACACCCTTTCTGTTTGTCGTCTGAGTGAGTTTCAAAGACCCTCTGGTGCGGGTTACCCACTGGAGTCACCTCTCAGCTTGGGGAAAGGTGTTTGCGTAAAGGAACGGGTTAGCCCTTCACGACCAGTGAGGGGTTCAGGGGCAATTAGGGACGGCTGAGAGGTGCAGTCCCGGCCAAACAGCAGCTGTCAGACCCCATCCGGAGGATAACGGAATCAAAAATCCCTCTGCTGCTGACCCAGCAATGGGGAGACGATGGTCTCTTGGTATTATCACCAGACTGTTAAGCCAGAGACCTGGGTAATGTTCTGTGTGCAGTGACTGTGATGAGGTCAGCCAGCTGGAACGCAGAATAGGAGCTCCCTGACTGGGGAACGACAGCACGGTCGCTCAGTGGTTAGCACTGCTGCCTCACAGCACCAGCGACCCGGGTTCAATTCCAGCCTCGAACGACTGTCTGTGTGGAGTTTGCACATTCTCCCTGTGTCTGCGTGGGCTTCCTCTGGGTGCTCCACTAGGGGTCTGTCTGTCTTTCTGTCGCTCAGTCCACTGCGCTCTGTCTTTCTGGATCCTCCTCCTCCACCGTCCCACAGTGCAAAGATGTGCAGGTTAGGGTGGATTGGCCATGGGAAATTGTCCCGTAGTGCCCAGGGATGTGCAGGTTAGGGTGG